CCACTTTAACATAGAGTTAAAAGTGAAGAACTTGGCTGGGAAAATGAGCAAACAACAAAAAAGAACCTGACTATAGAACATTACTGTGATGACAAGGAAGATCAAAACACGAACTCAGAAGACAACAAAGTCAAAACTGCTACATCTGAAGCCTCAAATAAAAATGTGAATTGGTCTTAGGCCCCAAAAGAATTCCTAGAAGAGCTCAAAAAGTATTTTAAAAATCCAATAAGACAGGCAGAGGAAAAATTAGGAAAAGAAATGAGAGTGATACAAGAAAATCTTGAAAAAAGAGTCAACAGCTTGGTAAGGGAAGCGTAAAAAATACTGAAGAAAATAACAACTTAAAAAAATAGGCCAAATGGTAAAAGAGACACAAAAATCCATCAAAGAAAATAACAAATTAAAAATAACTTCTTAAAAAATGGAAAAGGAGGCACAAAAGCTCACTGAAGAAAATTATTCCTTAAAAATTAGAAGTGGGCAAGTAGAAGCTAATTTTTCCATAAGATATCAAGTAACAAACAAAATCAAAAGAATGAAAAAAATAGAAGAAAAAGTGAAATATCCCATTGGAAAACCAAATGATCTGGAAAGTAGATCCAGGAAAGATAACTTAAGAATTTTTGGACTTAACTACCTGAAAGCTGTGATTAAAAAAAAAAAAGCCTAGACATCATCTTTCAAAGTAATTACCAAGGAAAACTGCCCTGATGTTTTAGAACCAGAGGGTAAAATAAAAATGAAAAGAGTTCACCAATAACCCCCTGAAAGAGATCCCAAAATGAAAACTAGGAATATTATAGCCAAATTCCAAAGATCCCAGGTTAAGGAAAAAATATTACAAATAGCCAGGAGAAAAAAAAAAAATTCAAATATCATGTAACCACAGTCAGGATAGAACAAGGTTTAGCAATTTCTACATTAAAGGATCAGAGGGCTTGGAATATGATATTCTGGAGGGCAAAGGAGCTAGGATTACAACCAAGAGTAACTCAGCAAAGCTAAGTATAATTCTTTAGGAGAAAAACATGGAAATTCAGTGAAATAAAGGACTTTCAAGCATTCCTGTTGATAAGACCAGAGCTGAATAGAAACTTTGACTTTCAAATACAAGAATCAAGAGAAGCGTAAAAGGTAAACAGGAAAGGGGAATCATAAGGAATTCATAAGGTAAATGGGAAGATGATACTTGTAACTCCCAAGAACTTTCTTATTATTAGGACATGAATATGAGTTGAATATGATGGAATGATAGCAAAAAAAAAATAAATAAAATTAAGGGATGAGAAAGAGAAATGCACTGGGAGAAGGGGAAAGGGAGAGATAAAATGGGGTAAGTTATCTGACATAAAAGAGGCCCGAAAGAGCTTTTACACTGGAGGGGAAGGTGGAGAAAGTGGGAGAATGCTTGAACTTTACTCTCATCAGAATTGGCTCAAAGAGGGAACAACATACATACTCAGTTGGGTATAGGGATCTATTTTACCCTACAGGAAAGTAAGAGGGGAAGGGGATAAGAGAAGGGGGAGCTGATAGAAGGGAAGGCAGATTGGGGTATGCAATAATTAAAAGCGAAACATTTTTGAGGATAGATAGGTTAAAAGGAGAGGGGAGTATGATAAACAGAGGAGAAAACATGATAGAGGGAAAGACACAGTAATAACTGTGAAGAAATGTGTATAGCAAGTTTCTCTGATAAAGGCCTCATCTCTCAAATATATAGAGAATTGAGTCAAATTTATAAAAATAAGAGCCATTCACCAATTGATAAATGGTCAAATGATACAAATAGACAGCTGTATAAAGGCTATAAATATTTTTGTACATGTAGGTCTTTTTCCCTTGTTTATGATCTCTTTAGGATACAAGGTATTGCTGGACAAAGGGTATGCACAGTTTGATTGCCTTTTGGACATAGTTCCAAATTGTGTAGCAGCTCTTTCAGTGGTGGCAAGGAATTGGAAATTAAGGGGATGCCCTCAACTGGGGAATAGTTGATCAAGCTGTGGTATATGATTGTGATGGAATACTATTGTACTATAAGAAATTATGAGCGGGATACTCAGGAAAAACCTGGAAAGACTTATATAAACTGACACAAAGTGAAATGAGCAGAAGCAGGAGAACATTTTACACAGTTAACGGCAATATTATACAATGTTCAACTGTGAATGACTTAGCCATTCTCAGCAGTACAGTGATCCAAGACAATTCTGAAGGACTTAATGAAAAATGCTATCCAGCTCCAGAGAAAGAACTGATGGAGTCTGAATGCAGATCAAAGCATACTTCTTTTACTACTTTATTTTTCTTGCTATTTTTTTGGTCTATGTTTTCTTTTACAATATCACTAATATGGAAATATGTTTTGTATTATTGAACATATATAACCTATATCAAGTTGCTTGCTTTCTTAATAAGGGGGAAGGGGAGAGAGGGAGAGAAAGAATTTGGAACTCAAAATTTTAAAAATGAACGTTAAAAATTGTTACATATAATTAGGGAAAAATAAAATATAAATAAATATTTTTAAAAGAAAAAAAAGTAAAGAGATGTCCTGTTTTAGGTCACCTAGTTCATTTTCCTGTACAAGTTTACATTTGATCAAATTTGTGATTTGGTTATTCCAGCATAAACGTAAATCTGTGAAATCAGCATTTCTTGGCCTTTAATTGATAGAGAAAAGTAGCATCATTTGGAAATGGAAAATTAAATCTTTTATTATGTTTTAAGCATCAAGTCCAGTTTGACTTTATCAGTCACCTAAATTAGGTCCAATTATAACTAGTGGCAGCTGAGTGGCAGAGTGGATAGAGCACTGGTCCTGGAGTCACGAAGACCTCAGTTTAAATTTGGCCTCAGACATTTACTAGGTATGTGACCCTGGGCAAGTCACTTAACTTCTGTCTGCCTCAGTTTCCTCAACTTAAAATGGGGATGATAACATCTCCTATCTCCCAGGATAGTTGTGAGGATTAAGTGAGCATATATGTGTGTGTGTGTGTGTGTGTGTGTGTATACACATACATAATGGTTAGCACAGTGCCTGACATATAGTAGGTGCTTAATAAATGCTTGTTCCCTTCTTTGCTATTACCTTGTTTCCACCTCTTCAAAGAAGGTACATTTTTTCCAGTGGGCAATTTTAAGACACTTAATACATTTTCACTAAGAGTGTCTTGCACGAATGTTTGTTGAGATTGAATCTGAACTCACCCCCAAAGCTTTTGCAAATGGGGATAATAATACTTGTGTTATTTATTTTCCAAGGCTGTTGTGAAGAATAAATGCTATGATTAATAGAAAGTACTTTATAAATGGTAAACACTATATGAATGCAAACTATTATGATTATTTAATTAGAAATTAAATGATTTTTCACTTTCTCTGCATGGGTAATTCCTCTCCTGTAGGTCACAATCTCTCTATAATTTAGGACATAATTTAATGAATTGCTGGGAATAAAGAATTTGTCACTTGGCAGCCAACCTTCTAGTGATAAGTCTCTGAGAACCAGTCATGCTGGTTTTCGGATAACACATGTAGTCTATCACTGGGTGCATTCTTGAAACCTTTCTAGCATGCTCAGACCCACCGTAGCTTTTCTTCCAATGCCTTTGTTTGGATATTCTTCCATAACCCTCATGCTATAAGGTTGTGTCAGAGGAGGACTTTGGTGGAAGAGGAAGTGTGGGGCCAATGATGGACTGAGAGGTTTGAAGCTGTAGAACCTGGGTTCAAATTTTCACTTCACTCCTTACTACCTGTGTTGCTTGGCCAAATTACTTGGGCCCTCTCAGGCCCCCTCTCGGGGCCCAAGTTTCTTCATCTATAATATTAAAGGGTTAAGTTAGAGGATGTCTTAAGTCAACCCTTCCAGCTCTAAAGCTGTGATGTTATTATTGTCATTATTGTATCATGAATAGCAATAATAACAGCGATGTGAAAAGAGAAATGGAATGACCTGGTGGATAAAGGCCAGCCTTGGGGGTCAGGAAGTCTTAGAGCCTTTCCTCTGACCCTACTAGCCAAGTGGCCATGAACAACTTTCTTAATTTTTTTTTAATGTGAAAATTTTTATATTTTATTTTTTTCAAATTACATGTAAAAACAATTTTTAACTTTTCATTTTTTAAAATTTTGAGTTCCCAATTCTCTCACTCTCTCCCTCCCCTACTCCTTCCTTGAGAGAGCAAGCAATTAGATATGGATTATGCAGGTGTAATCATGCAAAATATATTTTGACATTAGCCATGTTGCAGAAGAAAACACAGATAAAAACAAAACAAAACAAAACACACACACACACAATTAGGTGAAAAAAAAGTATGCTTTGATCTGCATTCAGACTCCATTGGTTCTTTCTCTGGGAGTGGATAGGTGGATTTTCCAGCATAAGTTCTTCACATTGTCTTGGATCATTGTGTTGCTGAGAATAGCTAAGTCATTCACTTGATCATTTTACCATAGTGCTGTTGCTGTGTGCAATGTTCTCCTGGTTCTGTTCACTTCACGTTACTTTACTTCATGAAAGTCTTCCCAGATTTTTCTATCATTCTGCTCATCATTTCTCATAACACAGTATTATTCCATCACAATCATATACCACAACTTGTTTAGCCATTCTCTGAATTGATGGGTATCCCTTCAATTTCTAATTCTTTGGGGGCAACAAGGTGGTGCAGTGGATGGAGCACTGACTCTGGAGTCAGGAGGAACCAAGTTTAAATCTGGCCTCAGACACTTACTAGCTATGTGACCCTGGGCAAATTAATTAACCCCCATTGCCTCCCCCCCCCAAAAAAAATCTAATTCTTTGCATGGGCAACCTTCTTAACCTCTGCCTAACCCAGGCAAATTTTTAAGACTATAAATTTCAGATGAATTGCACTTTTCATTGGCAGAGAGATTCTGTACTAGACAGTTACTATCTACACTGATAAAACCACAGGACTGGACAAAGAAAATGAAATCTTCTAAATTCTTATCTCTTCTAGATATTGATGAATGCTCAGAGCAGCCAACAGCCTGTGGAAGCCATGCTATCTGCAATAATCACCCAGGAACCTTTCGCTGCGAGTGTATCGAGGGCTACCAGTTTTCTGATGAAGGCGTGTGTGTGGGTAAGTTATCAGTGTAAGATTTTAAGAATCTCATGTATTCTCTTCCTTTTGTGGTTTCTCTGTTGTTTTGAGACTAGCAAAGTTTCTGTAATGTCATTGAGGAAAGTGGGCTGGTTTTTTGTTAGGTGTTTAATTATATTTTTAGATGGCGATGATGAAGGGAAAGACATGGAGGAGAGCCCAGATTGGCTCAAGATTTCGCTTTTATTCCTATGGGTATACTTTGTCTCACTGGTTCCAAGAATTTTTAGTTCAAAGACTGTTGCAGTTCTTCAGATTTAAAGGGGCAAAAGTGCTGGACAGGACATCTGAGCTCGGCACTTCTTCCCAAATTTAAAACAGTTCAGTCTTTTATGCTGTCCATGAACCATCTCTTTGTCTTTTCCCCACTGTTTGGCAAACCCGGATATGCCTGATGTTTGTTCTGTCTTGGAGCCCTGGATGAGGCTTTGCAGAGGTCCCGAGGTGAGATGGTTTCACGGGGGCGGGAAGGAACAGGCAGTTCTCATTTTGAGCAAGACCCAACCATCTGTGCTTCTAGGCCCCTCCCTTTCCTTGGCTCTGTATTCTTTCAGAAAATTGAGATTTTTAGCCCTGGTGAATTTTGTTTTTGTATTTAAAAATGGATTTATTTTTCTTGATTCCCCCCACACACACACACACACAGTTTAGTTAAGCTTAAACCTAAATGGGTAAGAAAATTCCCTTTGTGTGACGATGCTATGTTCTGTATATTAGGTCTATAGTGTGGCCAGGCTGATACTGCATATAGGCAGAGACCTCAAAGGATTTGTTGCCTCAGTCTGATTTCTGGATCTAATCCTAACCTTAGTTCACTTAAGACACTTAGGACTGTACTTGGTTTCCCCTAGTATAATAATATAATAAAAATATATGCATATAATAGTATAATGTAGTAATAGTATAATAATAACTACTTTAACAACTTACATTTATATAGCACTTTTAAGGTTTGCAAGATGCTTTGCTTTCATTATCTTATTTGATCTTCAAAACATACCTGTGAGTTGTTATTATCCCTATATTGTAGATAAGAAAGCTGAAGTTCAGAAAGAGTTAAGTGACTCCCAGGGTCTTGAGTGAAGTGACTTTCCCAGGGTCATGCAGCTGGTGAATGTCTCAAGTGGGATTGAAATCTATAGCTTTCCTGACTGTAAGCCCAGCATTCTATCGCTGCACCACAGAATAAATAAAGATCAGTTTCGTGATCCTGTATGTAATCTTTTTTGAGGTCCGTGAATAAAAGACATACTGATTAGCTTAGTAATCTAATTATTTAGGCACTTTCTATTCAAATTAATCCTTTAATTAAAAAAAAATTAACAGAAATAATTACAACCCTTCACCTCTCCTCTCCCCAACTCCTAGCAAATTGCCCTTTTTATTTTTTAAACCCCTTTTGTGGGTCCCTTCAGATTCATTAAAACGAAAGGTAACTAGCAATATAAAGCTCTTTTAAGGTAATTTATCGACAAATTTTACTTCTCCTTCACTTAATTGGTAAAATTGGTCATGCTGCATTGCAAGCCTTAGATAGGAATGCTCTCACTTGAGATCAGAAAAGATGGGTTTGAGCAGGGGAGGGGGCAAGGAAGTGAGCAGTCAGAGTTGAGGAAGTCAGAGGCTGCCTGTTGATTACAAAGGTTATTGTGTTTAACTTTTCAGGACTTGGGACTTTACGTACATGCAGATGACACACACACGTACACACACACACACACACACACACACACACACACACACACACACACACACACACACACACATATATATATACATATACAAATACACATATATTTTCCATCTACTGTATGTGTACCTTTTTGTGTTGGTTTTTTTTTATTATGGAAGTAGCTGTTTTTGAGTGTTGTCTTGCTTTGAATTTTTTATCACTTTTCCCTTTTCTTTATTCACTGATGGAAAGCTCAGAACTGTTATGGTTCATGTGAAAGTGTCAATTGCATAATGTGATTGGAGGGAGGGAGGGTAGGAATTAAGCCAGCCTTAGCTACATTGATGATGAAATAGATGAAAGTTCATCTCTTGTGTTTCCTACCCTAGTCTCTTGCAACATCAGCACCCACATACTCTCACTCTTTGGCCCTAAAAGCTTCAGTAAGTAAACATTCATGTTTAAAATGACCATTCTTTCTACCCAAATAAAAAGCCTCCCTTCTCCCCTCCAAGTTATATGTGATTTTACTTGCAACATTTTAACTTATTAGGACATATGGTACATGTACTCCTAATTAATTTTATTTCCACATTTTAAAAATCAGGTCTATTTGTCTTGATTCTCCCATCCCTCTTCAGTGATTATCATGCCCTTCTTTTTCTTGTTCTGTATTTCTTCCTTTCTCCTTCTCCTATTTTGGCTCCTTCCTCTTTTTTCCCTTTTCATACTCTTTCTAGCTCCTGCCTTTTTTAGTACTCCCCTTCACTCTTTTCTCTCAGATCCCTTACTTTTCTTTCTCAATTTTTTTCTGCTCTACATTCCCCTGCCCTAACATAAGGGAAAAGAGAGAAGAGAGAAAGAAATAGTGAGAATTTGGGAGAGCAATATAAGTTGGGACTGGGATTTGGTAGAATCACAGGGAGAAACAAATTCATTCATTCAACAACTGTTTTTTTTTTTAATGCCAATTGTGTACAGAATACTCTGTTAGATTCTGTAATATTTAAGACCTCTCTGCCCTCATGGAGGGTTACAGGTTAACAGAATCTGGCTTAGATTTCCCCGATTCAGATCTTATTCCTTTTTTTTTGTTTTGTTTGTTGTTTTTGGTGAGGCAGTCAGGGTTAAGTGACTTGCCCAGGGTCACACAGCTAGCAATTGTCAAATGTCTGAGGCTGGATTTGAACTCAGGTCCTCCTGACTCCAAGGCTGGACCTCTATCCACTGTGTCACCTAGCTGCCCCTGAGCATATTCCTTTTCCAAGACTTCTCATAGAAATGAAAGGAAAGAGAAAAGTCAAACCTTCCAAAGCATGAGTATTGTGTTGAGCTTTGGGCACGACAATTTGAGAAGGATGTTGGTTAGCTGCAAAGTGTGTATAGGAGGGAAACCTCTATAGGAAGGGAATGGTCTTGAGTCTACATTATGTGACAGTCAGCTGATGGAACTAGGAATATTTATTTATTCTGGAGAAAAGAAGAGGAAAGGATAGCTCTTTTCAGGTATTGAAGATCTGTCATATGAAAGAGGCCTTACACTTGCTCTATTTGGCCAAAGACTAGAACCAGGAGCAATGAGCAGAGGTTGCAAAGAGGCTTGATTAATTTAGATTTGATGTCAGGAAAGTCTGTCTACAGATTAGCACTATCCAAAAGTCCAGTGGGCTGCCTAGAAGGCGAGAGCTTCCTTCTCTGTGGAGGTCTTCAACAGAAGCTGGATGGGCCTCTTATTCATTGGGCATGCTACAGTAGGGATTTCTTTCAATAATGGGTTGGATTAGATGGCCACAGAGGTCCTTTCTAATTCTCAACCTTTGAGATTCCATGTAGATATTTTTTAAGCCCTGCCTCTGCCACATACCAGCTTTACCCTATTTGTTTGGCCCATCTATTTTAGATTGCAGAGAAGCTACCATATTATTCTACCACGTATGATGACCATCCAATGATCATCTCACTGAATGCTTTCTTGACTGTAAAAATTTCTATCATTTAGTGCTCTTAGAGTTGACCCACACAATAGTCACTGTCTATGTCTACGTATGAGAAGCCGGATGGCAGAGTGAAGAGAGAGCTGGCATTGGAGTCAGGAAGAACTGGGCTCATGGGCCACTTTTTTTTTATTCTTCTTTTTGGGTTCTTTTTAAATTTTTTTTTTTACCTTTTTTATTCATGTATTTTGATGTATCAACAATCACTTCCATAAACTTTTGGGTTTTAAATTGTTTCCCCCCTCCCTCCCCAAGACAGCATACAATCTGAATATAGGTAATACATATACATTTCATGGGCCACTTTTAACAAATACTGGCTGCATAACCCCAAGTAAATCACTTACTCTCTCAGTGCATTAGGTAGTAAACTGTCAAGACTTCAGTTGCAGAGAAGATGCTGACCTCCATTAGTATAGGTAGTTTCTCCATAAGAAGTTCCCTATAACAATGGAGTCACATCTCTGGTCCTAAATCCCTAAATATATGTGTTTATTTTACTTAAGCAGTCCCCCTCCCCAGTTCTTCCAGACTATTTCCTTTATTTTGCTGAGCAAGCCTAGAAAAAGGATGAACATTAATGACAAAAGGATAAGGAGAGAGGATAACATAAGGAAAAGCTCTCCCCTCCTTCTAAGACTGACTAGGTAAAGTCCTTTTGCCCAGAGTGCCACTAGCTAGGTGGTGTGGTAGACAGTGCTGGGCCTGAAGTCAGGAAGAATTGAGTTCAAATCCCTCCTTAAGACACTTAGTAGCTGTGTGACCCTGGCTAAGTCACTTAATCTGTGTTTGCTGCCATTGTTTTCAATGTAAAATAGAGAGTACCTATCTGGCAGGCTTGTTGTGTGGATCAAATGGGGTAATATTTGTTAAACATTTAGCACAGTGCCTACCAAATAATAGGTGTTACATAAATGCTTATTCTTTTCCCCTCCCTGTCCCTTTTCAATTCATCCAGGGCCATCTCCGGTCTTCCTGATCTGTATGTGGCCACTGGACCCAGATGGCTACTGAGGAGAAAGTGAGGCTGGTGACTTTGCACAGTCCTGCCTCACTTAAATCCAATTCACTTGCAAGTCATGGCATCACCTCCCTGATGCCATGGTCCTCTTTGAGAATGAAGGACAAACAACAACAACCATTTTCAGCTAGAACTCATAATCGTTTTCCCTTTGTAGACTCACTGCACTGCCAAAGTTGATCAGTGATAGATTTATTGTAGAGGAGTAGCCTGGACCAAATTCCTGACCATCCCTAGGAATCTTAAAGCCTGCAAATTTGGGGGCCAGAAGAAAGGCAGGCCCACTGTGCTACAATAATTGTATTCTTCTAGTTCCCATGAAAGTAGGTCACATTCTCACTTTGAAGACTCAAGCTGCTGAACATTATAGGTTGGCTTTTGGTTACCAAATTCTTTGGTAATTCCCTTGTTTGGCAAAGGACTTTGATCTAAGTGTCCATTTGTTTATGTCCTATGATGCTCCCAAAGAAAGGAAGTATATCTAATCTTTGTTTATCTTGCTTCAAGTGGCTTGGCCCTGTTCATTGAAGAGGAGGATTAAGAGTTCTGCTTTAAGAGTCACAAAATAAGTTTTGGGGCTAGCCCTAAAGTTTTCTTTTTCTATTTATTTTCAGGTCTGCATTCTCTCTCCCAACTCCTATACCACTACCCCACACATACATTAAGAAAAGAAGAAGAAAAAAACCATTATAAACATGTATAGTTAGGTAAAACAAATTCCCCCATTAGCCATATTTTTTAAAAAATTCTTCAATTTGCACTCTGAGTTCATCACCTCTCTTTCTGGAGGTGGGCGGCATGTTTCATCATGAGTCTTCTGGAATTGTGATTGCTCATTGTGTTGATAAGAGTTTCTAAGTCTTTCAAAGTTGTCTTTATAATATTATATAAATCATTCTCCTGCTTCTGCTTACTTCATTTTGCATCAGTTCATACAAGTCTTCCCAAGTTTCTCTGAAACAATCAGTTTCATCATTTCTTACAGCACAATAGTTAGCCCAAAGTTTTCATGCCATTTTCTTTATTCCACATCTTACCCTGGTCCTATGTTTTATGGAATGGTAATGGGGAGCACAGAGGCCAAATGATACTTTCAGAATTGCTAGCACCTGGAGCTGCAAGACATCCCAGAAATCTGAGCTGAGGGCCCTTTGTTTTCATCTTTAAACCGCATTCCTATTTTTATGTCAAAGCCAAAAGATAGCCTATAATTTACTACCTCCTTATCACTGGACAATTGTTTTAGAGCTGAAAGGAATCTTAGATGTCATCAACAACAAGAAGCTGAAGCCTGGAAACTTAGATGAGTTATCCAAATCTTACAAGTAGTAAATAGTGGAACTGATTGAATTTTGAGCCCAATTTGAGCCCAAGTCCCAAGCCAGAAAGCTCTCTCCATTCTGTCACGTTGCTTCTTCTAATCTTCCTCCTTCTTGCTCCATCTTCTCTGGGCTCTAGCAATGGAAGTGTAAACAGTTAAATGGCATAACAGATAGAGCATTAGGTCTAGACTCAAGAAGATCTAAATTCAAATCTGGTCTCAAACACTTATTAGCTCTGCAGTCCTAGGAAAGACCTCTTGTCTGCCTCAGCTTCCTCATCTGTCAAAGGGAGATAATAATAGCATCACTTCCTAAGTTGGTTATGAAGATAAAATGAGATCATATGTATAAAGTGCTTTGCAACCTCAAAGATCTATATAAATGTCATGTGAACACCTCATGTAGTTTCCTTTGGCGACTTTTAAATAAACCTTTACAGCAGAGGCCCTATCTGCTGTATATGGGCTAGAAAATGTCGAGAATTTAGGAGTTACAAAAAAGGTCTTGACATTGAATTGACCATCTTTAGCAAATGAGTAATCATAGGAAATAGAGTTGTTTATTATTTAAAAGAAAATTTGATTTAAAACCTTCTGTAAATCTCTTTTGTAGCTGTTATTGACGATCGCCCTATCAACTACTGTGCAACTGGCCTCCACAATTGTGACATCCCCCAGCGGGCACAGTGCGTGTACACTGGTGGCTCCTCCTACCACTGTTCCTGTTTGCCTGGCTTCTTAGGAGATGGGCATGCCTGCCAAGGTACACAAAGATCCTTTTTCTTTCTTCAATTGGTGCATAAAAACTAATACAAAGCAATGTATTTTAGCTTAGGTTCCTGTGGGAAAGTTCCCTGGTGACAGTAAGTTCTCTGCCCACCCTGACAACCCTTTATAAGGTCGAAAATGGCTATTATTTTAACTGCATAGGATAAGAAATGTGTGTTCAATTTATTTGCCTTCCTTGAGTATAGTAGTTGAGAATCTGTCTATCCTTATGCAAATTAGTATTTGGATCTTGAATGCCACCTAAATGAGTGGATAAATAGCAATTATGTTGTCTTTTTTGTAGCTAATGTTTTTAAAGTGGAAGCACAAGATAAAATTTAAAACTAAATGAATGGAAGCTAGGATTTTCAAGGATGACACCCAGATGAACTCAAGGTCCCTTGAAGATCTATGCTTCTATATTTTGCTTTATCTTAAAACCCTTAAGGATTCCTTTAAAGGTTAACTTCAGCAAAATGGCATATGAGCACAGTGCCCCAAGTGTCTTGATATACAACACCAAGTGCACCTTTCCAGTAAACTGATTTTTTAAAATTGATTCTATGATGCAATCAGATCTGAATTTTTGGCCACAGATTCTGTTTATCTGTTTGCTTTGTTACACAAAAGATTTAAATTCAAGGGGTAGGAGTTTGGAGGCATACGAGGAAATGATTAAGGCATAAAAAACCAAAAGACATCAATAAAAATTCTAACAAATAAACACAATGAATACATGGATTTAGAAGATCACTTCAGAGATACTTTATCTTTATTTCTAAACTGGTCTCCAATTATAAGTGGCCTCAAACAGTTGAAATTTCTCGTTCCTTGAGCCTCTTTGTTAAGTAGTTACTGATCAGTAAATTAACGCTTTGATTCACTGTGCAAGTAAAATAATGAAAGGATTCCTTTTATAAAGTGAAAAATCTTTGAGACAAAAAAAGAGTCGTCTCCCAGTTCCCCACTCATAGTTTTCATAAACTGGGTTTAGCAATTTCCTTAAAGAAAATCATCCTTGTTTATACTTGAAATATAGTCCTGTTAGAAGGAGATCAGAGAGATGTCATATGTTGAGAATTAAGGCAGTGAGTTCTAGAGCCTGCTGAAGAGCTACTTCCTCTTCACTGTAATGAATGATTTCACTCAGGCTTCATTGGTAAGTGGGTGGGGTGGGGGTGGGGGAGAAGAAAGAGAACAAGCATTCGTTAATGCCTATGTGCTAGGCACAATGCTAAGCCCTTTACAAATATTTCCTCATTTGATCTTTACAACATTCTGGGAGGTAGGTGCTATTATTATTATCCCCATTTTAAAGATGAGGAGATTGAGGCAAACGGAAGTTAAGTGACTTACCCTGGGGTCACCCAGCTAGTAAGTGTCTTAGGTTAGATTTTAACTCAGGTCTTCCTGACTCCAGGCTCAGTGCTGTATCCAGTGTACCACCTAGCTGCCTAACTGAATGATGAAAAGAAATCAGATTTATCTATGATATTGTGCTTTGCAGATGTAGATGAATGCCAACAAAATCGTTGTCATCCAGATGCTTTCTGTTACAACTCTCCGGGCTCCTTTGTTTGCCAATGTAAGCCTGGATATCAGGGTGATGGTTTCCAGTGTGTTCCAGGAGGTAAGATTTGGAGTTGCAATACAAACTTAACTGTTACTGTTAATTTTGATGTTGAGCGTTCACTAAAGGGAATGGAGTGGGGGCGGGGGACAGGCTGAATTTTTTCCCCCAAAAATATAGAGCGTGGGATTCGTGACCTTCTTCCCCTCCACAAAAAGAGGTGAAATGTCATCATCATTATCAAAGATTGGTTGGATACTGTACTAGATACTGCAGTTTAAATAGTTTTCCTTAAATTAGAGGTGTGGAAGTATTGATTCCCAAATACTGATATTGGCAAGAAAATTCTGAGGATGTCATGGAAACCGGAATTAAGGGATTCTAATCAGCTTCTAAATGAAGGGAAATCTTGAAATGAGTTTTGCTGAGTTCCATTGACTATGTTTTGGATACCAGATTGATTTTAGTATGTTAATACCATCACTTTCTCTACTTTTGCTTATGAATTTGCATTGCACCCAGGTAACACTAGAGTTGACTTTATGTAAAGGCAGAATTTAATATTAATTGACTAATTTAGATAATTCTACCAGTAGAGATGTGTTTCTTTGAAAATAGGCTTTATATTCTGTTAAAATACAAAATATCCCTGGCATATGCCACATTTTAAGCTTTATAAGTTAGTTATACCTTAATGTGAATAAGTTTTTCAGATGTTTTTTCTGTTGTTGGATTTTAAATTTGAATTTTTTTCTATGGACATGCATTTATTTTCTCTCCCTCCCACATCCCCAACACCAACTGAAACAAAAACAAAGCTTTCATAATAGACATACATACACACATATGTGTATATGTATAAAATATCCCTCATTAGCCATGTCTTAAAATGTATGAGTTATTTTTCTTGAGCCCATCATCTGTCTTGTTAGGAAGTATATAGAATGTTTCATCATTGGTCCTTTGGAATTATGGTTGGTTATTGCATTGATCAGAGTTCTTAAAATGTTCGTCTTCATAATGTTGTTGTTATTCTATAAATTGTTCTCCCAGTTGTGCTTACTTCTTTGTAACATTTCATACAAGTTTTCTCAGATTTCTTTGAAATTATTTCTATCCTCATTTCTTACAGTGCAATAGTATTCTATTACATCAGACTCCACAATTGGGTCAATCAATCCCCAATTTACACCAAAAAGAGCTGCTATCTATAGTTTTATACACATGAATCTTTTTTCTCTTTGATTTCTTTGGGGTGTAAGTCTAGAAGTAGTATCACTAGGTCAAAGGGTATGCACAGTATAGTGATTTTTTTAGGACATGGTTCAAATTGCTTTTCAAAATGTCTGGTCCAGGGGCTGCTAGGTGGTGGATAGAGCACTGGCCCTGAAGTCAGGAGGACCTGAGTTCAAATCTGGCCTCAGACCAAACACTTGACACTTACTAGCTGTGTGACCCTGGGCAAGTCACTTAACCCCAATTGCCTAAAAAAACACCCCAACCCCCCCCAAAAACCAAACCAAAATGTCTGGTCCAATGCATAGCTTTATTAGTAATGCATTAGGGTGCCTAATTTCCCACATTCCCTCCTACATTTGCCATTTTCATCAAGTTTAGCAACATGAGGCAAATGTGCTTTAATTTGCATTTCTCTAATTCTTAGTAATTTAGAGCTTTTTCTCTCTCTTTTTTTTGGCAATTGGGGTTAAGTGACTTGCCTAGGGTCACACAGCTAATGAGTGTCAAGTGTTTGGTCTGACGCTGGATTTGAACTTAGGTCCTCCTGACTTCAGGGCCAGTGCTTTATCCACTGTGCCACCTAGCTGCCCCATTTGGAGCATTTTCTCGCATGGCTTTTGTTGCTTAGATTTCTTCCTTTGAAAACTGCCTGCTCATATCCTTTGATCATTTATCAATAGGGGAATGGATTTTATTCTTATAAATTTGGATCATTTCCATATACCTTGGAAATGAGATATTTATCAAAGAGTTACTGCAAAGATTATTTCCCCAGTTAACTGTTTCCCTTCTCATTTTAAATATTCTGGTTTCATTTGTACAAAAACTTTAATTTTACACAATCAAAATGTCCATTTTATCTTTTGTTGGTAGATTTTTTTTTAAATGGGGAAGGTGGCTACAGCTTTGGAGCAGCTAGGTGGCACAGTGGATAGAATGCCAGGCCAGGGTCAGGAAGACTTATCTTCTTGAGTTCAAATCCAGCCTCAGACACTTACTAGCTGTGTAACCCTGGGCAAGTCACTTAACCTTGTTTGCTTTAGTTTCCTTATCTGTAAAATGAGCTGGAAAAGGAAATGGCAAACCACTCCAGTATCTTTGCCAAGAAAACCCCAAATGGGGTCACGAAGAATTGGACATGACAGAAACAAATGAACGACAACAAAGCTAGAGCTTTAAGAAAGTGAAGGAAAAAAGAGAAGAAAAGGAAGACTGAGGATCTCAAAGTTGGTTTGCTTTACGGATTTGCACATCATAAGTTATGGAGGCTAGCTAGGTGGTGAAGTGGATAGAACACTGAGTTTGGAGTCAGGAAGACCCGAGTTCAAAGTTGGCCTCAGATACTAACCAGCTTTGTGACCCTGGGTAAGTCACTTAATCTCTGTCTGCCTCAGTTTCTTCAACTGTAAAATGGGAATAAATAATAGTACTTACCTCACAATGTTGTTACGAGGATGGAATGAGATAATATTTGTGAAGTGCTTAATATAGTGCCTGGTACATAGTAGACAATAAATACTTGTTTCCTCCCCCCAAAAGTTGTCCATTGTCTAGAGACTTTTGCTACATCTTTAGATATCCTGGCACAAGTATAAACTGAGTTAAGCGCTCCAAGTTTTCTATGGAAATTCTGTGATTAGTAGCCAGGATTTTGAATTTCACTTTGCTGTTGCTCTTGGTCAGATACATCTTTGCCACTTTGAATGCCTTAACTGTGAAGAGAAAATCTTCTCTGTCCTTGTTCTTATTAAGGTCAATAACCACAGCTAACTGTTGCATGAAAAACTTAATTGAGGGTTTAACTATATATTTTTCTTTCTTTTTTATTCAGGTCTGTTTTCTTTGGCCGTAAGGAAATTCTAGGTTAATTGAAACCAAATTTATCTCTGACAGACTTTCATGGAAAATATGTGAAGGGACAAAAAAATGACCTCTAACATCCTTCCTTAGCTCTGGTGCCGAGTTAGTTATCTCCTCCCTGAGTTAGATGATAGACATATCTGAGGTAGACACAGTCAGCCTTCAGAAGGATTTGTTAGATATGCGGGTATGCACAGAATTAGCTCTGGAGGGGAAAATTGACCTGTATGGTCATCGTCATGGTGACTAACTCTTGCCTTCATTCTTATTTTTTCCAAGTTAACAAAATAGCTGTTGTCATGGTGGCATTTTAAAGATTTAATTATACACACACACACACACACACACACACACACATATATATTTGTTACATTTTAAGTTCTGAACTGTCTCCCTCCTTGCTACCCCATCCTGCATTGCAGAAGGCCACCATTTGACACAGATATAGATATATAGATATATGTGAAATCATACTCTGCATAGTTCTATTTATCAGTTCTTTCCCTGAGGTGTGTAGCATCTTTCTTTATGGGTCCTTTGTAGTTGATTTGAGTATTTACAATACTCAGAATAACTTGGTCATTCACAATTGTTCTTCAAACAATATTGCTGTTACTGTATACAATGTTCCCTTGATTCTGTTCATTTCCCTCTTCATTATTTTTGTGCAAGTCTTTCCATGTTTTTTTAAAATCAACCAGCTCATCATTTCTTATAGCACAGTAGTATTCCATCACAATCATATACCGCAACTTGTTCAGCCATTCCCCAATTGACGGGCATCCCTTCAGTTCTTGGCCACCACAAAGAGATCTGCTATAAATATTTTGTAACATAAAGGTTCTTTTCCTTTTCCCCTGATCACCTTGTGAAACAGACCTAAAAGTGGTATTACTGGGTCAAAGGATATGCAACAGTTTTATAACTCTTTGGGCATAATTCCAGATTGCTCTCCAAAATGATTGGATCAGTTCATGATTCCACCAACAGTGTGTTAGTGTCTCAATTTTTTCACATCCCCTCCAACATTTGTCATTTCCCCCTTCTATCATTTAGTCACATGGTAGCATTTTTAATAAAATGCCTGCCTGAAGGGGTTCTGAAAAATAGTAACTCTTAGCTCCCCTGCTTTATCTACTAGATAAACTATCTGTAACTCAGTAAATAAGTCTTAGAGAGTTACCTGAGGTTCAGCAACTCACCAATGGTCACATAATGTAGTAAATGTTAGGGATGGATTTAAAGCTAAATCCTACTAACTCAGGGACCATTCTCTATCTTTTATACCAGAGGTTTGCAAACTTTTTGGTCTCAAGACCCCTTTACATTCTTAAAAACAAAGAGCTTTTCTTTTAGATATTAGAAACTGATAAACCAGTAAATTTTTAAAACATTTATTTAATTCATTTTAAAATAACAACAAATCCATTACATTTTTACATAGATAACATTTTTAATGAAAAATAGCTGTTTCTGAAACAAAAAATAATTGTTGAAAGAATGGCATTGCTTGACATATTTTTGCAAGCCTCTTTAACGTCTGGCTTAATAGAAGACAGCTGGATTCTGTATCTGCCTCTACATTTTATCTGTTACTATATGTTGTTTTGTTTAAAGTATATGAAGAAAATCTGGCCTCACACAGATATGTAGTTAGTAAAGGGAGGAATATTTTAATAGCAGGTAGTATTTAGTATTATTATGAAAAAAGTTTTGACCTCAGGGACCCTCTGAAAAGATCTTGGGGACTCCTAAGATTTCTCAGATCTCTCTTTGAGAAGGACTGCTATCTCCTTCCGTCTCTGTCGCTCCCCTCTCCTCTCCCTCTGTGTCTCCTTTTCCTTTTCTTCTCTGTGTCTTTCTGTGTCTGTCTCTCTGTCTCTTGTTTCTGTTTCTGTCTCTGCTTCTGTTCACCTTTCTCACTCCTTTCATAACTAGATAGTACTTCATGTATTATCTAT